GAGGGAATAACTGGACCCTAATCCATCAGAGGTTATTTCCTTGCCTTCTGGACTGAAGCTTCCATAGTCAGAAATACAGTCATTTTAATGAGTGACAAACATAATTTTACACCAATCGGAATAGAATAGTATGAAATGAATATTTTGTTACTTGCGTGATTTATTTCTTATTAATTTTGGATCTAATAAAATTTATATAAATATTGTCAAAACAAAAAAGAGACACTCCTTATTCTTAATTCTTAATTGGGATACGTCATTAAAGAATTGGAATGCCGGTCACGGCTCTTCGGGAATAACGACCTCAAGGTTTTCAACGAAGCGTTCTATCTCCACCTTGAAAACAAAAAACGAAGTAATTACTCAATAAAGCCAGTTTGATAATTCGATTATAAATTAACCTGAAGGAAAATTGTGATTGCTGTCAAAAAAGAGATGATGGTGTTAATAATAATAGTGTCCTATAGATAATAGAAAAATAAATAAATAATACAAAAATATGAGACAAAGGTACCACTTTTAGAATTTAATTGCAATTAATGTTGCAATTATTAAGGTTTTCATATTACATAGTTTGTGAAGATAAATTTGTACATTAATATACTATTGATTATAAAGCTGTATTAGACTAGCTTTGAGATGGGTCATATAAACTGTTTGATTGATAAATATTTAAAATTTTCATCTAAATCATTCCATAGAGAAGCTACAGAGCAATAAGACCAGTGTGACGTGCCACTCATGCACACATTAAATGTTATCATTCTTTTCTCTTGATGATGATTGTGATGATAGCAAGGGTGRATGGTAATAATGATAATAAACAATTATTTGATGTGAGGTTGAGCATGATATATCGTAAATTATCAAGACTAAAGCCGTGTTATTTCAATAATTGTTTTGTATCAAATTGAGCTGATCCTCGCAGTATATGAAGCAACTTATGCAGCTGCAAATTGAAAGCCCTTAGAAAAAATTCTGAGTCTTGAACGGGATAATAATAATAATTGTTTAATTATGCATTTAGTTTTGTTAAGTAAGAATAAAAGATTTAATGCTGTTTTCAAAGAAAGAGCAAGCGTAGTACTGAATAGTAGTCATTTTGTAACACTAATGTGTAACTTTATTAGTACAAGTATCTTGCATCATCAATGGAAGACATTGTAATGGTCGTCAATGGAGATTGAACACTCTGATAGTAAGAAGCAAAGATGCTGAAATACACATTTTTCAGATGGATGTAGTGGCAAAATTAATGTAATGCCGGACTAGAAAATAATGAATATGATTTATCACTTATTTTTGTATTGTCTGTCACGTCAGCGGTAGGACATTCACATCTTGTATTAATAAAAGCAGGGCTTTGACAAATATCACGATAAAGAGTTCCATCACTTACCATGGAACCACTTTCTTGCGTCACTGGCTTGCCACTCGATGAGAGCTGCAATCCTACTGCATTCCTCTGCAACAAGGGTAAAAAGATATATCGTGCATTAACGAAAGCATGGCTTTGACAAATATCACGACAAAGAGTTCCATCACTTACCCTGGAACCACTTTCTTGCATCCCTGGCATGCCACTCGATGAGAGCTGCAATCCTACTACATTCCTCTGGAACAAGGGAAAAAAGATATATCATGCATTAATGAAAGCATGACTTCTTCGATAAAGAGTTCCATCACTTACTCTGTTGCCACTCTCTCCTGTCATTGCATTGCCACTTGATGAGACTTCATTCCTCTGGAACAAGGGAAAAAAGATATATCATGCATCATAATAAATGAATAACGCCGCTTTAGCTTTACCGAGAAAAACAAAATGGCGGCCATTGAGTGAACGTAGTGTAAGGATTGAAATGTAAATTTCAACATGAAAGCTGCCGTTCCAGATTTGCCATCATACCTTTTTGTAATCCTGAATAGTCAAAGATTATCATAAAATGAGTTTAATCTGTTCCCTTTAAATGAGTATTAGACTCGGGTCAGCTGATGGACTATTAATGAAAGCATGACTTCTTCGATAAAGAGTTCCATCACTTACTCTGTTGCCACTCTCTCCTGTCATTGCTTTGCCACTTGATGAGAGCTGCGATACTTCTACTTCGTTTTTCTGCAGAAAGGAAAAGAGATACATCATATAATAAAGACATTGCCACGAAAATACTACCCTACAATAGCAAGTAAAACCATTTCCTTATGCATTCCGTATAAGGAAAGAAAACGAAGTAAAAGTCACGATATTCAGTCTCTTTTCCAACTGAACCCTCTCTTGAAGAAGCCTGATCATAGAAGCTTTTTTGGGTGAAAACTCTGGTCAAAAGAACACATTGCACATTTAATGGGAAAAAACGCATGTAAACTGCATTTGAGGCTCACTCTTGGATTACTTTTTGACAAACATCTTAGAAGAGCTTGTAATTGTAGTATAACCTCACACAAAGCAAAAGAAGACAGAATTACAAACGAAATACAAGTATTATCGAATCGACATTAGATCTTGCTTATCGCAATGGATAGTCTCTTTACTAGTTGAAAGAAATAAATTAAAACAAATTAGAAATATTTGTGAGATGTCTTAATATCAAGAGAATGAAATACTGAACATACTGACTGCATGGAGGCCATTTTTTCCTGCATGGTCGTTACTTCGTTAAAAGAGAACTAAAAGTCTTGAAATATTTCCTTAAATTCGACTGACATACTGGCTATGAAAACCCGAAATTATTATCAATATTATTAGTGATGGATCTTGTGCAAAATGTTTTTAAAATTTAGTTTAAACTTACCATAATAAGCTAGCCGTACTAAGTACAAATTCAGTTTTCGCGCATGTAATCCTGTCCAAGCACTTACAGCGCCTGCGCAGGCTTTTTCTTCCAAAATATGGCGGCTGCTTCACATCCGGAATTTTCTTCGAATATGGCGGCCAGTCCGTTTTCTCGTTTTGCGCACCATCACGATATTGTCGCATGTACGGCTTGGTCCTTAGTGTTGGCGACTCTCGCAACTTTTTGTTACAACTCGGCATGTTGTATCGCAATATGTCTTCTTCAGATCGAACTTACCGAGTCCTGTTGAGAAAATTAAAATAATTCAATGTTTTTAAAAGCTTGAATTCTCTTCATTAGCAGCTCGGTTTGATGAATGAACGATTTAAAAAAATAAATGTCTTCAAAGATCGCTGACTGAAAGTTGGAAGCGATTCATCAAAATGCGCAAAAAAAGCCGAAAAATAGAGCGATATTCTCCCATTTGAACATCTAGAAACGACATCCTAAAACTATGTCTACGCCGCGCATTTCTAAAATTATTTAGTTTTCGATCATAAATATGGTTTAAAATTATTATTTGGTGAACATTCATCGAACCTTCGCAATCTCGGTTTTTTTGTTTCGAAATCTGCACCATTGGCGCCATTATAATTTCATGTATTAGTTGATTCACTTTGTTTTCGCTTTCCAAATTCTATTCTGCGCATTTTTAGAACTTTTTTTGTTAAACTTACCAGAGCCTAAGACTGGCTTACGTAGTTCAATCGCTTTTTCAATCGCATGGCGATCCTTCTTCTTCTTTCCGGGCCTACGCAAGTAGTCCCAATCTACTATTCCTGTAAAACAAAACAAACAGCTATTTTTCTGGCATACAAAGCAACTTTCAYTTTCTTTTAAGACATCAAAAATTCTGGCAAACGAAAAAGTTAAGAAATAATTAAAACTCCAGTTTTCGACATCATGGTTTTAGCCGAATACCTGTTTGTGAGCCTTCTACTCTTCATTATTAAGCACTCCAAAGTTAGGACAATTTCTTGGGTTCATCCTTGGTCGACTTTGTAAATGTCGCTTTCATCTTGCTAAGCTATTCCAATAATTCAAAACAAGAAATAACAACTATACAGTACCAACGACTAAGATCCAAGCAATTCAGATTTGGCGACTAAAATATATAAATGTTATTAATGGACGAAAAAAATCAGTATCAAGTCTTTGTTGCTTACTTTGATATGACGATATGACATTGCAGAACTTTTGTAGGAAGGCTACTGTCAATTTTCTCTTACCAAATACTTATCGACGAAATTCAAATGAAAATCATGACAAACATCACCTTTTAAATATTAAGTTTTACAAAGAATTTGTTTTACAATACGAAATTTCAGATATCAAATATCCCATAGTTACTTTTACCGTAACTGCAGCCGATGAATCAATATATTTCTAGGTCTTGGGCCATCCGATGGGATCCTGATTCACAAGCTGCCGACGTAAAGTGTTAACATAAGACAGTGATCGACTGGTCGATAGCTGCAGTATTCAATTTGCCGGAACTTTTTGACAGTCAAAATAACGTTCCCTTATTTCACTCAACTGTGTAAAAATCCATAATTATACGATTCAGAGGCCAGATGCAGATATTTGCCCCCCTCTGCCCCCCTCTGTACTAAGTTTTTGTTTAGTTTTCGATTGTTTCATCTAAAGTCTTGACGATACTCAATGGTCAGTTTCAATGCCAGCTAATGCCAGCTACAGTCGGCGATTTGGGATGAAATGACTTGTCGATCTGCATTCTTAAAAATTTGGCCAGAACTTTTTGACAGTCAAAATAACGCTCCCTTATTTCACTCAACTGTGTAAAAAATCCATAATTATACGATTCAGAGGCCAGATGTAGATATTTGCCCCCCTCTGTACTAAGTTTTGTTTAGTTATCGATTGTTTCATCTAAAGTCTTGACGATATTCAATAGTCAGTTTTGATGCCAGCTATTGGAAAAAGAGAAAAAAAATGTCTCATGTATGTTTATATGTAGTGAAACAAATGTATTTTAGGATTTTAATAACTCTTAGTTGTTATGATTTTAAACTTTTATTCAAATTAATGGAATATTTAAACCAAGTTTACTAGCAATGTCATGTTATGTATAAGTATGTATGTTTAAAACAAAAATGTATTGATCAATAAAATAGTAATTTTCTAAATTTTAATTTTTAATTCTATTATTGAGAATGTTATAGAAAATGTAAAGCGTTGTTGAACGTCTGGATATTGACGCTATAT